GGAATGGTGAAAAGCAAAACATGTTTAAGAGAGTTCTTCCTCACCACCTGTGTGTATAGATCCCAAGCTGCCATTGCTATAATATCACACAGGAAAAAATGCAGAGGGAGTTTCTAACAGCCACGTTAGATAAGAGGTAACAGTTGCAATTTTCTTAAAATGTGCTGTTTCTTCTTTAGTACGTCAACTAGGAAAGCTATGAGTCTCTAAATGAATGCTATCAGCTGCTATACTCCTCATAGTGATTTTTGAATTTCATAAATATGTCATCAGATTCTTCAAAACTTACTATATGCATTACTCCTACTTTTAATTTACTTGCTAACGCTTAGCTGTTGTGGTTTTCATTCCACTGTATACAGATAAAGTAGACATGTTCTCACTTATTTGAAGATGAATTTGCTTTTCCTGCCCAATTTTGTAAATCTGAGCTGTGTTTCCACTGCTTTCCTCAATCTTCAGCATTTCCCTGCTGTGTGCAAGTGGGAAGACAGGAGATATAGTTCTGAAACTGCTCCTTGACTTTTGGCTGGAAGGAGTTGCCTTTTATTTTTAACATCCTTTCCTTTGCCTCCTTCAAGAACATCCAAGAACAACTCTACGCTGAAACATCATCTTTTCTAAGGGAGACAAATTACATCCTAGTAGTTATTCAGAGTTTATTTTAAAGGTTCAATCCTACTATTCTGAATCTGAAAATACTAAAAAATTGACTAAGTCTAGAGTGGTAAAATATCTACTGCTGCCTGGGAGCTACTAGACTTGCTGTCTCAAGACAGGCTAGTTCAGACCCATGTAGCTTAAACTGAAGCTCAGAAAGAAAAGAACTGACTGCTTCAAGACCAACTTTGCAGTACCATTTTTTTCCTAGTTGTTGGTCAATGCCAATTCAGGGAAAGGCCAAAACAAGAGAATTACTGTTTCACCCTATGGTTCATCAGTACTCTGCTGCAGTATGCCTAATAGAGTTTAGAGCTAAGCTAAGCTTTATCCTTTTAAAATCACTAAAGACCAACCAGACAAATGGTGTTGATGGAAATTCAAATGTAACTGGCAAATTTTAAGTCTGTGCTGAGTGGAATCTATAAAATATCAGAGCAAGCGTATGAGCTTGTAAATAAATCAATGCCCCAAGCTTTTGGGGAAAACATTGCACACCAAGTATTACGAATTTCTTTACCATTTTGTTACATTATATGAATTTTTTTATCGGACTAAGTGGGTTTTATAGTGTTGATTGTTAATAAAAAGATCTGGTTAGAATCGTCTTTCTGATTTAAGTAAACAACATTTGCTTTTTATACAGACTTTATGAGACTTCTGTGAGCTCTGGTGTTGCTGATATAGTGAGGATGTATGGCCATTTAAAATTACATTGTAGATATCATGTGACAAAGTAATTTTTCTATCAACACAACCTCAGGGAAGTTTATTTTGTTCTGCAAAAAGTTAGGCACAACTTGCAAAACAAGGCAAAAGTCCAGTGAATGAAGATGGGATCAATTCCAGCCTTTCTTTTGTATGGAACAAAGAAATGAACATGAGCAAGAAAGATCTTAGAGAAATTTTGTTTAAAACAAGCATCCTTTGATAGAGTAACACAGTAATTATGGGCTAATTGCCACTGTGATGGAACAATAGAGTAATGCAATTACCTGCCTAAATTCCTGTTCCTAGGATGTTTCTTGTTAAATTTCTTAGAATCTTCAAGACCTTTTATTGAGACTTATACTTTGTTTTATTCATTTCTGTGCTACCCAAAGGTCTTTGATTTTCCATGGTATTTATATTTAATCCAAGAATTTTTGTATGTGTATGTGCACGTTCTTATCTATACATAGAATTTACTCTAATGATTAAGTCCAACAATATTTAATTATCAGGCTCTGATAAAATAACATGAAAGATTAAAATCAGATAAAGGTAGGCAGTGTAACTACTTTGGAAGGATAGCCCTGACAGTTCTCTTAATAAACTTTTTATTTTAACATGCTCATTCCTAGCACCAATTGTTTCCATTGTTAAAGATGGAGAAAGGACAGATAGAAATAATTTTGTTGAAAATTAGGTGATCTTTAAGTAAGTATGAAAGCATGAATCTCAGACTCTCTAGAGTTCATGTTCTGGTTTTGTGCATTCATATATTGAGATAGCTCAATAACCTGATGGGGATATCCTGAAGAGTCTTTTCTGTAACAAGTTTCCATGGCACATACAATCAACAGCTGCCATAACCCTTCTTCTCCCTCTGTTAAGCAGGCCTCCAAACGCAAAGTTCTGTGGGAAAAATAGGTTTTATTTAAATCTCAGTCTGGGTGACAGACTCTCCTTATCTCAGAAAAATGCCAATGTCTTAACTAGAACAGATTAGGGATGCTCTCTGCTTCTGTTTAACACTGTGAACACTTTGAAGCAAGGTATCTATCTTCCATCTAAACAAATGGAGGAATGTCACTTTGGTAAAGGCATTTACTTTTATATTCATCCAAAGTCATTGGATAAAAATACAATAACAATCTAAGAAGAAGCAACAATCAGTGACTCTTCGCTGATCTCCTTGCTCACTCTGTTTGTGGGAGAAGGTGGGAAGGCATTTGTTAGGATAGCACTCCCAGCTGTAAAACCCAGTGTGCTGTGTTCAGCTGTAAGAGTTATTTTTCTCCCTCCTAGTAGCTGGTGCAGTGCTGTGTTTTGGCTTCAGTCTGAGAACAATGCTGATAACACACCAGTGTTTTAGTTGTTGCTAAGTAATGCTTACCCCGATCAAGGACTTTTCAGTCTCTCGTGCTCTGCCAGTGAGAAGGAGCATGAGAAGCCAGGAGGGAACAAGAAGCAGAGACAGGACACCTGACCCAAACTAGCTAAAGGGGTATTCCATACCTCAGCACATCATGCTCAGTATATAGAATCATAGAATCATAGAATCACAGAATAGTTAGGTTTGGAAAGGACCTTAAGGTCATCTAGTTCCAACCCCCCTGCCAC